AAGAGAGAGAAAAAAAAGGATTATTTGTTTCCTTATTACAAATGATTCTTTCTTAATTAATTCTCTCTCCCAAATTCCTAAAAAAAGAACCGTGTGGCTAATAAGTGAGAGCTCTTTAGACTTTTTGCAAGAGTGCTCTCGCAATAGCATTACTCGATAGATTAATGCTTTCAAAATACTATAAAGATTAATGCTTTCAAAAAAGTTTCTTTGCGAATAGAGTCGTGAATTTTTTATATTTAGGCTTTGTTTGTTTCAACATAAAAAAAAAAATTTCAGAAAATATTTTTATTTTTTAGGTAAATTTTTTTTTTATTTTTTGCACTTTTCAATATTTGGTAAAGGTATAAAATAATTTACAAAAAATTAATAGATAAATTATTTTTGTAAAAATTTTCCTCCGTAAATATTTTACGACAATCAAATACTAAAAAATAAAAAAATATTTTTTAAAAAATATTTTACATCTAAATAAATAGAACCATTTGTATTGAAATAATGTTTCAAAATTTTATAAAAATCATTTAATAAATCTCTAAATTCTTAAAGTGAAGAGTTAATTGTGAAGAAAGTCTGTAATATTTTAAGAGGAGATCATTCTCCAACTACCACATCTAATGAAGGAAAACTCTAAAGTTAAGAAGATCCCACCATCACATGATTGAAACTCTCCAAAGTAGAATACTAGATTTTCACCCAATTCTGGCTCTCATGAGAGCATTAACTTACTAGTGTTGTCGTTGTTCAAAATAGATATAAATGTATTGATTGTGATAGGAGCCCATTTATTGCGGTGAAGGTTTGCAATCACATGCTATGCCTGCCATGAGGTGAACCAAAAGGAACACACAAATTGATAGGTTTTTTTGTCGCAATTCCATCTAGTAGAGTCCTCTTTATGGGGTTCATTTTGAACACGTTCGTTTTTTTCAGGGTATGTTGGGTACGTATTTTATTTTTGTTGTAGATTGTTTTTTTTAGGGTTGTTTGGTACCTAATTTTGATTTCAGCATTTATTTTAATCGAAAATAAAATAAATATTTTATTATAGATTATTTTGAATAGTAATTAAAAACATATTTGGTAACGTTCTTGTATGATTTTTTGTAACAAAAATATGAAAACTTTATTTGATAAATCCTAAAAATATAATGATGATTTTTGGTAACAAAAACCTGAAAACTTTATTTGGTAAGTACTAAAAATATAATGATTAGTTTAAAAATGTTATTTAAGAGTTTTTTTTTTTTAATTATAATTTATTGCTACCAAAAACATACAGAAATACTAAATTGGTGTCTTAAATTTTTGTTACTATTCACGAAATTTCGTCACTATGCAAAACAAAAATAGTTTTACCAAACCGCATTTTTTTCATTGTTCATTGTTACACTACCTGACATTTGACAAAAACAAACAAAATACGTACCAAACATGCCCTTAACCTGTTAAAATAAATCCTGTGTATACACTTGACCAACTCAAACACGATAGGTTTATATTCTATTTGTTTCGCAAAATTGGAAAGGAAAGCTGGTTTTGCACATTTGTTGAATCTATTTAAATACTTCTATTAGAAATTCACTTGTAAATATTGAATCGAGATAGGAGACTTTTGTATATTAATAACAATAACGAAAAGTTTAGGCTTTTTGAGGACACTCAATCCTTTATTGAACAGGTTATTTAAATTTCATAACCTATTATTATCATTGAAAGAAAACCATTTAAAATTTGAAAAACTATTTGAAGTTCAGAATTTTTGAGTTTCAGCCTAGCAAGTACGAACACTTCACCGTATTGTGACCTATCAGACATTCAGACAGGTGTTAAACACGAAAAATGTTGAAACATGTGTGAAGTGCCACTTGTATCTGAAATCTAAATATGTAGTCATGTCCACATACAACCTAAAACTAAGAAACCCAATGAGGCTTTAAATGATGCTTTGAATCAAATATTTACTAACATATAGTAGTAGTAATTTTAGTAATTCTTGAAACAAAGCCTGGAATAAACCCACAAAATGATTAAAGTCTCAATCCAAGTATGGAAGCTACGTTTCACTAGAAATGATTGTTTGCAGTAAATTGATTAAATTATTCATTGCTTTTAACCCCACAAGATCAGTGACTATGTTCCCCTTTAACCTTACACACACTTAAATCCATTCATTAAATATTTCTCAAACAAAATTGAATCTGGTTTTAATCCCAATGAAGTAACACAAAAGAAGTTTTCATAGAAGACTGGACTGGACCCATTGAATGATCAACCTCATTCAAGTATGCATGCATGCTAACTAGCTAGCTTGTAGCTACCTATATATACATACATACATACATATATATGTGTGTGTGTGTGTTTCAGTAGACATGCTTGTTTCAAGTAATTTTGAATGCTTTAACCCTACAAGATCAGTAAAAACATGTCCCCCTTTATGTCTACACACTAGCATTCATTTCTTAGCAAATGGGGTCTGGTTTTAAACCCAAGGAAGTAACATAAAAAGAAAATGTATCCTCTCACAAACACCTTTTCATTCTCTCCTCAAAAGACTGGTCTGCTTTGTAAGCTTACTTCTCAAGAAAATGAAAAGACTGGTCAGAGATAAAAGGGCATGCAAAGTGTCACTGCACTTGGAAAAGAAACTATATATATATATATATATATATATATAATCAATTTTACTTTTTATATTACCACTTTCTTGAATCAAAACCATATATATATATATATATATATGGTTTTTTTTTTTTCGGAAGGTTATATATATATGGTTTTGATTCAAGAAAGTGGTAATATAAAAAGTAAAATTGATCATTTCCGGTAAATATACTTTTTACTCATCTTGATTTTTTCTAATACAAGTTATATTAACCCAAAGAAAAATCTTAGTTGAGGGTACCAAGTAATTGTTGGTCGGACAAGTCAGAACCAAGTTCTCCATTTGTATCGCCAGGTTGAATTTAGATATGTAATTAAAATTTTGAATCTCAATTTCAAAGTGATACTCCTACACGCAACATAAATTAGTTGCAATACATGCTAAAGACATTGTATTCCACCACATAGTCAACTATCTCTGCCACAGGTATAAATGAACTATTTTTTCAATGTCTCCAAAGGTTCGACTAGTAATTTACTTGTCAATGATGCACGATCAGTTCTGTGATGGCGTAGAAGGTTATACTATGTAACTATGCAAGTAGTAAGTTTATTTATTTATTTATAATATATATATATATATTTTTTTTGGGCAACAAAAATACACCTAACTCATATTTACCCACTTTGATCATTTGGAGATTCAAATCATTATAAAAGGAAATACTCCTACACACACTTTACTCAAGGTACACACCCACCGTATCTAATATATATGGGGCATGAATCCTCAACTATATGGGACTTGTATTATAAACCTCTGGTATGTGAAGATGAGGACCAAGACGTACGGATATGAAAACGGTATGATACAGACATAACATGAATACGTTAAAAATAATAATATAATTTATTATATATATATATATATATATATATATATATATAATATTTAGAACTAAAGGCTTGTTGGTTATATTGAGTATTAGTTTACATCAAACACTTTTTCTCACCATATATTTTTCTTTTCCACGCAAGCAGTTGAACTCGAATGGGCCAAATCCAACAATGGTCCACTTGAGTGCAAGGTGAAACTACAAGACCCAAAATTTTACTTGTACACCTGACCATGTGGAATGAGAGAGTACTTTCTCGGAAGGGCCTGAAAGTTTATCAGACCCAAGCCCACCACTGAGCTGACCTGGAATGCATTGACCCCAAAACTAAGGATTGGGTTTGGGGCCTTACCCAAATAGACTAAACTTGTTAAAGAATAGTGTTTCTATCTTATGGGCCTTAAGGCCTGCTAATTGACCCAAGATGGAAAGTAAGGATGTTGATGGCGACCATTTTAAGCTACAAAAACTGGGCCAGTCTTGCTAAAGACTTCATCTAGTATAGTTTTATATATATATATATATATATATATATATATAATAATTAAAATTAAAAAAACGCAATTTAAGAGAATTATATATTTTTGAAGAGCAATATTTCATGGTAGGATTATTCTGAATGGTACCATTATCGATAATTAAATAATCTGCATCCACTGATCCTCAGGCATGATGGTAAGAATGCAACAAATCTGCATTACTTAGTCTTCTTTGCAACTTTAATATCAGACTTCGTCCTCAACCTCACATTTTCAAATTCGCGAAACCATTATTAATAAATTTTCATATGCATTATTCATGGGTAACGAATCGGCGCTTTAGATTTGGTGCTTCCAAAAGCTAAAGCGGCATTGGTAGAATAGATTTCGTAATTAATCAAAGCTAGAGATAATATTAGTGTAGATTTTATACTGATTTCCTTCTAATCTGAATGCAATAACTAATAAATTCAAAAACTTGATCAGATAATGTCTTTTTGAGGAGTTAGATCCTCAACTTCTGAATCTTCCATATCAATTGTCAAACCCAGCTCACAATCCACTCTTTCTCTCTCTGCGCACCTCGAAAAAGAAAAAAAAACAGGACAAAGAAGATCAACCACAATCAATCACACAGGAAAAAGGACAATGACACCTCATATTCATGTGTCCCATAACAAACAACAAAACCATCAATCTTGTCCCTTAGCACTTGGCGGAACATGGTATGTTGGTACCACCACAATGGGAGTGGATCAACTGCATTGAGGCGCAACCGTTATGCTGCAATTGACGGTTCACATTATTCACATGATATCAACACTCGTATGTTTGATCACGTATACATAAAAATAATTCTGAGTATTCAATGCAGTACAACACTTGTGCTGCACTGCAAAGAATTCCAAACTAAAAAAGATATTAAGTACGTTCACTGAACTAATTTGAACCATACATATTATACACGTACAACTTAAATGAGTAGGTGCACTGTGCATCTAGCGCACTCAATATTTATTTCCCATACTCGATCACAACATTACCCAATCAACCATCTCTTGGCTCTCTCTCTCTCTCTCTCTCTAGGAATATAACTTTATAATAGTCCCTAGTAAAGGGGCATTGATTCCATTATCATTTGGCAATGGCTTTTGTATGGTCACTACTCTTGGGATTGACCATAGCTTTTATGGTCTGCCCATCTTCATCACTACCATTATCAACATCTAATAACCTAAACTTACCTATCTCTGCTATCTCATCAGCACCTGCATTGCTCCCATATCCTCCAGAGTCCTCTCCTGAAGCTCCTACTCTCTCTCCAGACATTGCTCCATTGTTACCTTCACCTGCAGGTAGTCCAACCGAGTCATCACTGCCCACCATTCCCGCCAGCCCAAGCCCTCCAAATCCAGATGCAATGGTCGGTGCTCGGCCGGACACCGCCTTCGCGCCATCTGGGTCCTTGCCAGTTTCCACCTCCTCTTCAGTAGCTCTCAAGTTGTCTGGGTATCTGAATATAATTGTAATTCTTCGTTTGGTAGCATTTTGGTTGATGCAGCTTTATGGTTTGTGATGATTTATTTGTATGGGATTGATAATGTCCAATTAATTCTTATTGTTTTCAACTTTCTGATTTTCTTTATCCCAAGTACATAATTGTGAATGTGTTGTGTTTGATTTAGATTCTTGTGGTTCATATTTTCTCTTTCTGATTGCAGATTTTCATTTATCTCGAAGTATATAATTGTGAACGTGTTATGTTAAATTAATATTAATTATTATGTTTCATATTTTCTCTTTCTGATTGCAGATTTTCATTTATCTCAAGTATATAATTGTGAATGAGTTGTGTCAAATCAGCATTATTATGGTGCATGTTGTAGCTAGCATCCACAATTATTGATGGACCTTCCCTCTATGCATAGGATTCCCAAATACTTATTAATCTATTGATTAATGATCCTACATTTTAAAATTGAATACATTCAACAAATAAAGATATTTTTTCAATTTAGAGACTGAAATATCTCAAATACTCTTAAGGCAAAATAAAATTTGAAAACATTAATTTAAACTTTTACGGATATATTAAGAATACTTTGGATTTTTTATAAAATATTTTGGTCAAAATTGTAGATAAATTTATATTAATAGGTAATTTGCACATATTTTTAAATGATAGATGTACCAAATAAAATAGATGATTTTTACGCAATTTTTATATAAGAGGGCGGTGTTTTACACTTTACCCATAAAAAAAAAAAGGCACAACGGTGACATAAACTTATCGAATCTCTACTTTTCCATCTAGATTTTTCATTTTATTTTCTAATCAAGAATCATGGTTGTTGAGGCTGGAATTCGCGCAGTCCGATACGATACCATTTTCCTGCAAGAAAGAGAGGAGAAGATCGATGAACCTTGACGGCACCGATATAGTGCCTGCCAAGAGCTCTCCGACGATCAAATTAGTCACGAAGGTCTAAAAAGAAGGCAGCGATTAATAATAGTTTTTTTAGGTCGTACCTTCTTTAATGGCTTGATGCCTTATTTATGACTGTCGATTGGAATCAAAATCGTTCCGCTGATGTCGATGGTTGACCTTATCTTCCGCTTGTGCGAAATCATAGGAGATTTATTACCAAATTTGTCGGGATATGATTTAATCCTTTTGACCTCCTCCAGTTATAGTAGGATTATTCTTACCTGTTAAATCACGTCAGATTTGATTTCATTATCCTTGATAATAAAATCTAATCAATCTTATCGAGGGTAGGGTAGGTTTATATTTTTCCCTATCAGTTGTCCCCCATTCTCAAGCTTACACGTCTAGCTTTGGGCGCGGGTACTATTCACTTAAATAGTAACTCATGGAATTTTTTTTTTAATACTCCTGTGAACAGTACCTGCGGGTACTATTCCCGCGGGCACTATTCATGTGAATAGTAACTCATGATTTTTTTTTTTTTTTTTTTTTTTTTTTTTTTTTTTTGGCACCCAAGGGAACAGTACTCTTCCTTTGATAAGAGAATAAATTATATGAGTTTCACTCCTTAATAAGGGAATTGAACTTTACGAGTTTTACTCAGCCCATCCTTTTAGTAAGGGAATTGAACTTTACGAGTTTTACTCAGCCCATCCTTTTAGTAAGGGAATTGAACTTTACGAGTTTTACTCAACTCACCTCTTTAATAAATGATTTTTATTTACTATCCCTTATTGTAAGGAGATATTAATTACGGGATTCATCCAACCCAGGTCCTTGTAGTACAGGACATTCATTTATTATCCCTTATATTACGGGGATATGGATTACGAGATTCATTCAACCTGGGTCCTGATAATACATGATACTTATCCCCTATAGTCCGGGGATATGGATGACGGGATTCATTCAGCCCGAGTCCTTGTAATAAAAGACACTCATTTACTATTCCTTTATAGTACGGGGATACGGATTACGGGATTCACTCAGCCCGGGTCCTTGTAATACAGGACACTCATTTACTATCCCTTATAGTACGGGGATACGGATTACGGGATTCACTCAGCCTGGGTCCTTGTAATACAGGACACTCATTTACTATCCCCTTATAGTACGGGGATACTGCACGTATAAACTAAAAGGAATTTTATTAAAGACCATCATTATTAAAAACAAAATAACACGTGATGGAGTTATCCTCCATTTAAAATGATTAATTAAGATGCCCCTAGTCTTTATTGTGAATGACTTGATAAGGCTAATTCCAGCCGCGAGACAATTTCTAGTCGGTATACTCATCTGAGTCATTCTCATGATATATGCTGTCACTCTGGCTGAAGAACGATTTCTTATATTTGGTATTATTTTCATCCCTGGCTAAAAGGGCTGGCCTCTTCTTGTCCTCTCCTTCCTTCCGTGCACTCATGGTGTCTTCAGCGTTGATGTGTTTTTGCGCTCTGACCAGTAACTCTATCATGCTGGTGGGAGGTTCTTTTGATAAGGAGAACAAGAATCTGGAGGTTTGGAGTCCTCCTATGAAAGCGGTCAAAGCTACCTTGTCGTCCGCCTCTTCTACCTGCAACATCTATGCGTTGAATCGGGTAATGTATTCCCGAATCGACTCTTCCTTTTGTTGTTCCACGGTAAACAGGTAGGTAGCCTACCTCCTATACCTCTGACCTGCAATGAAGTGGCTCACAAACTGCTTACTCAATTCTTCGAAGGTGTTGATGGTTCCTGACTTCAACTTGTTGAACCAAACTCTCGCTGATCCCTTAAGTGTAGTGGGAAAAGCTCTGCACATGATTTCATCTGGCACAGCGTGTAAATGCATAAGAGCTTGAAAAGTTTCCAAGTGATCGAGGGGATCTTTGGTCCCATCGAAACTTTCGAACGAGGGCATCCTGAACTTGCTAGGTAGTGGACATTTCATAATGGCGAGGCTGAAAGGCAAGTTGGTCCTTTGTACCAGGTCATCTACGATGGCAGGACCTTTCCCTTTCATAGCCTGCATTACATCTTCCATTTTCCCCTTGAGATCCTTGATCTGCAAGTCGAGATGGGTAACTTTCTTTGTCTTTTCCTTAAGACAGAAGGCTATGCTTTCAGGAGGTCGGGAATTCCGTAGGAGAGATGGGTGAACCACCTCTCTATGTCGGGTTCCCACCTAGTTTTGTTCCACTTCAGTCTCATTTTGGGGGGAATGATTATCCCTCTCTTCAAGATTCCCATTACTTCCATTTGGACTTAAGAGATCTTGTTCTGGAAAGTTTTGTTGAACCGGTGGAACAAGGTGTTGCAAGAGCGTTGCATTTTGCTGGATCAACTGGTTCATACCCTAACTTAGAGTTTGAACCTATAGTTCCAACGCTGCAAGCCGTGCCTGGTTGTTTGGGACGTTCAGGTTTTCACCCGACTCTACCCTTTAACCAGATCCCTGCGACGGTGTTCCTTCGGTAACCATACCGGACTGCAAACGTATATACCCAACGAGTAATTAATTGATTCAAGGGAATCGTCGTTCCCACAAACGGAGCCAACTGTTGAGGCTGAAATTCGCGTAGTCCGATACGATACCGTTTTCTTGCAAGGAAGAGAGGAGAAGATCGATAAACCTTGACGGTACCGGTGTAGTGCCTGCCAAGAGCTCTCCGACGATTAAATTAGTCACGGAGGTCTAAAAAGAAGGCAGGGATTAATAGTAATTTTTTTACGTCGTACCTTCTTTAATGACTTGATACCCTATTTATGGCTGTCGATTGGAATCAAAATCGTTCCGCTGATATCGATGATTGACCTTATCTTCCGCTTGTGCGAAATTATAGGAGATTTATTACCAGATTTGTCGGGATATGATTTAATCCTTTTGACCTCCTCCGGTTATAGTAAGATAATTCTTACCTGTTGAATCACGTTAGATTTAATTTCATTATCTTTGATAATAAAATTCAATTAATCTTATCGAGGGTAGGGAAGGTTTATTTTTTTCCCTATCAATGGTGGCATAAACTTATCCCTTCTATTGCACTTGAAACTGGAAAGGTGACCACCACTGTGTTTGGCACTAAAAATAAAATAAAATAAAGCATGGTGTGGGGGGTGTACCAGTGGTCCAGTGCTTAGCACATATGCAGAATCCATACTTGGCCAATACCGGCCCAAGATTCAGAAAAGGATGCTCCTTCCCTTCACGTTGTTTTGGACAGTAAAATAGTTGATCAGTTCACTTAGATTCTTAAAGTTCATTGGCGAGGTTAATTTGGATAGTAAAATAGTGAACAACTTTAAACCTTTATGTAAAGCGAAAAATAATGACGATATACTGAAAAATACAACTACTATTTATAAAGGTAAAGAAATACCGAAAACAATTCGATTTAGTGCATTCTAAATTTTAAGGTAATTCAAGTCTGTTTCCACTTCTAACTAAAAACACTAAACTATTTGATAGCCTTTGAATAATATTAACAAAGGCTATTTTGAGATCCTAAACAATAAAATTTAACGAAAAAATTTACATGTCACCGAACAATTATAGGTAGTTCGTGAGTTTGGATCAAAAACGAGTTTGTATCCATATTTCTCTTTCTCCTTATTTCAAATAAAGAAAAGAAATTCAATCCCTCTATATGTATAGGATTCCCAAATACTTATTAATCTATTGATTAATGATCCTACATTTTAAAATTGAATACATTCAACAAATAAAGACATTTTTTTAATTTAGAGACTGAAATATCTCAAATACCCTTAAGACAAAATAAAATTTAAAAACATTAATTTCAGCTTTTAAGGATATATTAAGAATATTTTGGATTTTTTATAAAATATTTTGGTCAAAATTGTAGATAAATTTATATTAATATGTAATTTGCATATATTTTTAAATGATACTTGTACCAAATACAATAGATGGTTTTTACAGATTTAGTATATAGGAGGGCGGTGTTTTGGTCTTTACCCATTAAAAAAAGTGCAATTCAGTTATCGAATTTCTGGTTTTTCATTTTATTTTCTAATCAAGAATCAAGATTCAAGATTCATGGTGACATAAACTTATCCCATCTATTGCACTTGAAACTGGAAAGGTGGCCACCACCATGTTTGGCACTAAAAATAAAATAAAATGAAGCATGGTGTGGGGGTGTACCAGTGGTCCAGTACTTAGCACATATGCAGAAGTCATACTTATCCCGAGTGCCAATACCGGCTTAAGGATAGTCCCTCCCTTCAGGTTGTTAAGTCTTAAAGTTCATTGGCGAGATTAATTTGAATACTAAAATAGTGAGCAAATTGAAAAAGTTATGTAAAGCGAAAATAATGATGATATACTGAAAAATACAAATATTATTTATAAAGGTAAAGAAATACTGAAAACAACTCGATTATTTGATAGTCTTCGAATAATATTAATAAAAGGCCATTTTGAGATCCTAAACAATAAAATTTAGCAAAAAAAATTTAAAAAAATTTACATGTCACGAATAATTATAGACAGTTTGTGAGTTTTAATTGTTAAACCGTTTTTTTGTATCCATATTTTCCAATCATAATATATTGTATTTGCAATTGGGAAATTATTTTAGTTGCCAAAATAGCAGTCCCATCAAATACACGTAACAATAGTTATAAAATTAATGACTCCGTTGTTCGTCGTTGACCATATACATTTATTATAAGAGTCGGTTTGAAATACAAAATCTAATATATAAATAGGTGGGAACTTGGAACAAATTTTCTATGGCGTGGATTATTTTTCTTTCTAAATACAAACATGTTAAAAAAAATAAAAAATAAATAAAAAACAGTGGACTTTAATTTTTGGGCGGTTGGTTCAATACGTTAGCATTTCTCACAAAAATACTATATGTCAATGTCAATACTATGTACTGTATAAAATAAATAAACAAATAAATAAAATGTCAATACTATTATTCAATGCTTAGTTTGCACTTTATTAACTATAAGAGCAAGCAAAAGTTCACTTCCTCTGTAAAGTAGTAATAGAAATATATATAAGTGTGTGTGTGTCGAAGATAGAATAATAGAGGCCATGAAATTACCACAATCACTTGACTTTATTTATTATATATTACTTTTTTCAAATCAGTAATTCATTTTGATTTTATATTTCTTCACACAACGAATACTTCTATTCTTTTAACTCGACCATTTCAGAACTTTTACCATCACCTTTTCTGATCAGTGATTGATTCAAAATGTTCAACTGTTAAAAATTATGCTTTGTTAATATTATAGCTAAAACATGCCAATCATCATGACCAAATAATAATTTATCACTACAGTGTATATATGTGTGTGTGTATATATATATATATATATATATATATGTTACATACGAGTATATCTTAATTAATTTATACGATTCTTGGTGTGTCCAGATAAATGTATCTGGCAAGCTGCAAGTAGCCAACAACAGGACACCTACCCTTGCCAGAATAAGAATCACTTTATAATTAATTGTGACATCAGTCTATATATAAATATATTCCTCTTGATTAGTTTTGAAATTATAATGATAAGATTAAAAATTGTGAATCTTGAATTCTTTATAAGATGTGTTCAAATTCCAGTGTTTTACATGGTGGAGCTACCACTAAGGCTCAAAATGAAAAGGATCTAGAGCGGATTCATGTCAATTTAGATTGATATTTGGATTAGAACAAAATCAGACCATATAGACATGACTCATATCTGAATAAAACTCCAGCGTTTGAGAATCAGTCAAATTCATATTTGACTTAAATTCTCAATGAATCTTTCAACAAAGATCTACATATAACTCTTTTTAAAAGTCAGACTCAAAATTAAAATTCAAACTTACTAAGATGAACTTCCTAGTATTCATGTCAACTCCATTTCATTACAAATCACATGTCATGAATTCTTATCTCACGTTGGATCTAAATGAGAAGGGTTTTGAACATATAAGATTGGGTGTTAAGACTACCTAATAATTTAAATTTTTAAATTGGATCGTAAAGTATTCAATTTGTACTAAATGGTATTATTGCTTGAATTCGAATTTTTAGGCCAAATCGTAAAGCAGTGACCCGTCGTTACACACATCTAACGTTCTTGAATGCAAATCATGTAAGTCTTTAAAAACATACTTTTCCATAGAATTATAGCAGTACCCTTGTAAACTTTTCAGTAAAATGACACAATAACCTTTGTTTGAAACTAAAATTTCATACCAACAGTTCACTCTCTCAAGTTTCTAAACAAGTACTTCCTTGTCCCAAAAATTTTAAGGTGTTTAGAGGAGCCCAACTTTTTATGATAGTAGGTTTATAATATATATATATATTTTATTGTATTAATAATAGTAAATTTTTAAATTTACCTTTATTAAAAGACAATGTACTATTCCGTAATTACTATACTTATTTAATCCAATCAATATTAAAATGATAGTTAGAAATTATTAATAAAAAAAAAAAAAAAAAAAAACAATACATTCAATTTTTAAATAAAATATATGTTTCGAGACATCCCAAAATAATAAAAAAATATATATATAATTTTTTTTTGGGATGGATGAAGCAATGTTTAATCTCTTATTAAGAGTTTCATAAACTCAAAATCTAAGAGTAACAATAAAAATTTATTTATTTATTTATTATCTAACAGAATAATAGTCAGAATGCTTGTAATAATTTTGGGAGGGTGAGGGTGACTGGTGAGGCCGCGAGGGTGAATTTATTTCAACATAGAGATAGAGCCGTTGGTGGGACCATGCAAGCGAAATAAATTGATTTTTAGTTTGTATGGGCGGCGAAAAATTAAGTTTATAATTTACACACAATTATTAACACACACTATCTCTCGGTCTCTCTCTCTCTCTCCATAAATAGCAACCTCCACTAATTCCATTTCCCATCCTCGCATTATACACACAACACATAGCGCTCTCTCACTCTCTTTCTCATTCTTCAAACACACAGTCTAGTTCTGTAAGTAGGTGTATATACATAAGATAAATAGCATGGCAAAGGAGGTTGAGGCAGCGGAGCGAGGCGAGTTCTCGGCCAAGGACTACCAGGACCCGCCACCGGCTCCGTTGATCGATCCCGAGGAGCTCACCAAATGGTCATTCTACCGTGCTCTCATCGCCGAGTTCATCGCCACCCTTCTCTTTCTCTACATCACCGTCTTGACCGTCATCGGCTACAAGAGCCAGACAGACCCCACCAAGAATACCGACCAGTGTGGAGGCGTTGGAATCCTCGGTATCGCCTGGGCCTTTGGTGGCATGATCTTCGTCCTCGTTTACTGCACCGCCGGTATCTCCGGTGAGTATTGCGTTTTAATATATATATATATATATATATATATATGGAGCTGCTAAATGTTCATTTAGGACCTCAAACAATCAAATTATAATGACACCAAAAATCAAAACTCAATGCACAAACACCAAGTAAACTATTCACAGTTGGGTGAAAAATCATGGTTTATGAACATGTGTGATAAATAAATTATCATTATTAATGCAAGTTAATAAATTATCATTATTAATGCGAGTTACCACTTTTATGGAAATAAAAAATACATATACGTATATGGTTCAAATCTAGAAAACCTTAGAGTGATATCACACTCTTTATGTGCAAAAAAATATTCTTAAAATTTTAATTTTATATAAATAGAAATTTAGTCAACTTAAGATTTAAATTTATGAAATGAAATTATTGGAGGATGTCTCTCACGTGCAAAAAATACCTGGTGCAAATAGGTCCCGTGACAAATTTAAATCTTAAGTTGACTAAGTTGCCATTACTGAACTATTTTATAAAATATATAAAAATAAATAATTTTATAAAATGACCGAAAATAACACAATTGGAGGACGCCGAAAATGGAAAAGTAAAGATAAAAATATAAAATAAAAATAAAAATTTAAAAGAAAAGTAAAGATAAAAATAAAAAATAAAAAACGAAAATAAAGTACAAACTAAAGAAAACAAATCTACTCCAAATTCCGAAAACCAGTGCACATTAATATTGAGAATTTTATTTTTTTATTTTTTTGTTTAACAATGTTGGTACGAAAAATAAAAAATAAAAAAATAATTTGTAGAGAAGAGTAAACTGAAATATCAAAAAATTCAAATCTTTGTTCTAAAATTCTCAAAAAAAAATTAAAAAAAATGTTTAGATATATATATAGAGAGAGAGAAAAAAAAAAAATTCAAATATATATATATATATATATATATATATATATAAGGTAATGTGCACATAATACCCTTATACTATGAGATTAGTAGCATATATAATACTCCCTTGAACATTTTCGGAAGAGTAAGATGGCAAAACGAATATTACAATACTAATTTATATAAGATGGGATATTTTTGCACAATGTGAAAAGATTAGGAGTATTTGTCCCACACTTTTTCAAATAGAGGATAAAAGTGCTATGTGGAGTATACTTTTAATAATATTTTCTCCACTTGTCGCTATAAATATATATATACACGTCAAACTTAAAATTTCATCATATATATTTTGAAATTCCACTAGGGATCTCACCAAGTGGTGAAAAATTAATTATAATATTATATTTGGGAGCATCAAATCGTTTTAAATTTAGAATTAAAATAAATTTTATTTATTTATTTATTTGAGATTCACCGATTCAATACCCCATAATTTAAATCTACCACTTTAATCACAACCCTTAAAAAGCCTAGAAGCGCATTTTTGTCATATGTTATCTGAAAATTAATTTTTATATAATTTTAAATAGTTAGCTAAATTTAATTATTATTTTACTGTAATTTGAGGTCTTAAATACCCACTGGAAAGTCGCTACTGTGGATTAAGTCCGCGCATTTTAGTGTAAGGCTAATGATGTTTTTAACGTGCCCACAGGAGGACACATTAACCCGGCAGTGACGTTTGGGTTGTTCTTGGCACGGAAAGTGTCGCTGATCCGAGCAGTTATGTATATGGTAGCACAGTGCTTGGGTGCAATCTGCGGCGTGGGGTTGGTGAAAGCGTTCCAAAAGACATACTATGTGACGTACGGTGGTGGGGCCAACGAGCTGGCTGCTGGATACAGCAAGGGCGTTGGATTGGCTGCTGAGATCATCGGCACCTTTGTTTTGGTCTACACTGTTTTCTCAGCCACTGATCCCAAGAGGAACGCAAGAGACTGCCATGTTCCCGTAAGCACCTTATCAAAACCTTCCTCCGCCTTGGAGTACATTTATTTATTTATTATTATTATTATTATTTTTTATCATTTCACCTGGAAAAGACATACAAGACAAGACAAAAAAAAAAAAAAAAAATCAAAGCAACACAAAATAACTAACACGCCACATCCTATACATATATATATATACTATTATATGCATTCTCACTATTAAAAGTCCTCCTATATATATCTATACAAACATAAAGAGAGATTCTCTTCTACTTCTTTTTTTTTTTTTGTTTTTTTTTATAACTAATATTATTATTATTTTTTTCTCTTCTGTATATCCAAACAAAGCATTAGAACCAGTTGATTAATTAACCTTGTTGATTCATGAATTAAGGTATTGGCTCCCCTGCCCATCGGATTTGCTGTGTTCATGGTTCACCTAGCCACCATCCCAATCACAGGCACTGGTATCAATCCTGCTAGAAGTTTTGGAGCTGCTGTGATCTACAACAAAAGCAAGGCTTGGGATGATCATGTATGTATATGCTCTCTCCCTATCTTCATTAATAAACAATAATTCAAAAGAACATAAGACGTAGTCCAACAAACGAAACTAATTTAACTATTTAACTTGAATGAGGGTTGACGTCATAATGACATTATTGACAAGATTGATGTCATTACCACATCAACTTCCACTTATAAGAAAACAAAAAAATAAATAAATAAACGGCTACTTATTATGAGTTGTCTAATTTATATTTGTTTATAATTTATATACGTCTCAGTGGATATTCTGGGTTGGACCTTTCATTGGAGCTGCCATTGCTGCATTCTACCACCAATTCATTCTAAGAGCAGCTGCCATTAAGGCTCTGGGATCCTTCAGGAGCAATGCCTAAGTAATTATACATATGTATGTATACATGTATGTATCTGTTGATGGTTCTAAAGAGATGGAAATGAAGTTTCCAAAAGGAATAACAATGGAGTGAATGTTGTCTACAAAAGTACCCTTGGGGAAGGGTTTTGTTCTAGAACAAATTGGAGGGCCATGGAATTGTAGATAAAATTTACTTTGTGAAATGGGTGTCTTTTGTATCAACAATCTCTCATGTTGTTTCTTCTTTAAATCTTGCTTTGGGATGTACTTGTGTGGTGTTTTAACTTATTTCCTCTCTTCTTTTTTCATCACTTTCATTTCCCTTCTCTTTCATGATGCTTGTTCATGATAAATTAAGTAAATGGGTTATGATCATTGGTGTTGAATTTTCAATCATAAATTAATTTGTACTATCCTAGTCCTAAAACAATTGTCCCTTTTGAAAATTTCAACTTCTTTAAACGAGTCCTAACCTGAAATTCCAAAACTAACCTTCATAATTTAAAATTTTATATTATTAATTTAGAAAGAAAAAAAAATTGGAACATCTAAAGATAATTATAGAATGTTTACATTGACTTTATGAAACAACCTCCATTTTGGAATAAAATGTACATAGTTAATAAACTATAAAGTAAGGATTGGGGGTTATATCAGTATTTGTGTCTTATAATTTACTCTATTTGTGTTTATAGGTTATAATTGTATTGTGTCAACTTAAGGGTATTCTACTAAATAGCTCAACCCTAACATGACCAGTTTAATTTTAGTGTCAGAGACCCTCAACACTAACCCGACTTGTTTATTAAACGGAGTACACGTGTAACCAGTTTAATGACCTATTTACTAAAATAAAATATTATATTATTTAAATTATTAATAATAGTCAATAAAACAATAAATATTAGAAAAGTATTAGTTTTAATTCAACCAAATTACTAAATGGTATACCATTCAAAAAAAAAAAAAAAATACTAAATATTCTCTAATCTACTATAGAGTAAATTATAAGACATGAATTTAGATAGTTATTTTGAAACTTAAAATAGAAATTTATTTATGACATGTATAGTTAAACGGGTATAAATTGGTTACACGAGTTGAATCCATTAACCCAAATATTACACGATTAATTAAACGGATCAATCATGTCGACCTATTTACGACCCGAACTCATTTAAAGTCAACCCAAACCCGATTAACTCGAGTGGTGTTGGTGAATCGTGTCAAACTTTGCCACCCCTAATAAAAGATTCTAACTTATTTGAAAAATTGAAATGGCTTTATGCATTGGGATCGAGATGCCAACATTCCTTGTCACAGTAAATTTTGTCTTAATATTTTGAGTTAAAATTATAAAACCCCTACTACTTTCAAATTTTGATCATAAAATTCCAACCTGTTTCAAAAAATCTCTACACTTTTAAAAAGTGATCGCAGTGGCCCAATATTCGTATTTGACCTAGTAATTGGGTTATGAAATGATAAATTTCACCTTATTATTTAATGTTAAATTAAAAACTAAAAATTATTTTTTTAAATTACAAAAATTGTGTTTGAGAGGGAGAGAGACAGGTGAGTTTTAGAGAGAAAGGGTGAAAAAAAAAGATTAAAGGGTATTTTTATAAATTTAAAAAATATTTTTTAATTTTTAATTTAACATTAAATAGTAAGGTTAAATTTGTCATTTCATACCCCGGTTAACGACATGCAAATGTTGGGGCAATGTGATCACTTTTTAAAGGTGTATGAATTTTCTTTAATAACTTGGGATTTTATGATCAAAATTTGAAAGTAATTGAGGTTTTATGATTTTAACCATAATAATTTTTTCCTATATAGATTGTTAAAAGTATAGTGGACATTTTGGCATTGAAAATACAATTATTAGTATAATGTTTTGAATAATAGTGTAATATGATGGATTATTTCATTATAGAAGTATTACTCTAAATTAATATATGATCATGATATACCTACCCATGAGCTTTAAGGTTTTACCTGTTGCCCAAATATGCTCCTACATCTTAATTTTAAGACTTTCTTGAATTTCTTTCTTCTTCTTCATTCTTTTTTTTTTTTCTTTTTTATTTTTATTTTCTCTTTGGCCCTGTTTGACATGCGTTTTATTTTTACTATTTTTATTTTTGGGCGGCTATAATGCTGATTTTGGCAACAAAAGTATATTTAGTGTGACCTTATTTTATTTTGCATAGTACTAAAATACTTCGTAAATAGTGACCCAAAATCAAAGCACCAAAAAATTATTTTTTCTAATTTTGATAACTGAAAAATGTATATAAAAAATTGAACTCATGTTTTGTTTGATTTATTTAGTTGTTCGAGATGGATCGCAGTTTGTTTTTTTCATATGAAATTATATAGTGTAGTTTAACGAAAGGAAAGGGTGGACAATTGTAACACATAGAACAGGGGTCACTGCCTTGTATGTATAATGGTGGAAGTGCAATTTCAACTTTATGTAAAAGGAGAATACTTAACCGACAAATCTTGCTTTACTCGCTCGTAAGTAGGTCATTCTTACTCCTATTAATGTAATCTAATAATTACAAATGCACACATATTAAAATTAAAAAATTAAGAAACTAAAAAATAAGAAAATTAGGTAGGGTGACTAAATTTATTCCAAAAAATATTAGTGTAACTTTTTTGATTTTGTAATTACAGACTATTTATGCATTTGTAATTGGATCACAGCGGTGAGTAGAGATAACCTACTCACTGGTGGGTAATCAAGTCTTTTTCATACTTACCTACTCACATGTAAATAAGTCATCATACTAATTGCTAATGTAATTACAAAATAAAAAGAGATTGCTTTTGTAATTACATACCATTTGTACATTTGCAATTGGGACACATCAGTAATTAATAGGATGACCTATTTACCGGTGAATAGGTAAGTATTGTCTTATAAACAATATCAAATATTAACTAAACTTTGTAACTGGTTAATTATTTGCTTTAAATAGTACCATAATCTCATCTCCTTTCAAAATAAAAAAAATGAAGGGTTCAAGTCTTTTCAATAACAGCACCAGTGCAATGCCAATAATATGCTTTGAACGTTCAAGTATATTATTGGAGTAGCATCCATGTTGCCATCTACATAGAGTATATTTTATATATATATCAATGATAAAATATGTAGTATTTCTAAAGCTATATATGCCTTCATTCTAAGCATCCTTATCCTCAGTTTATATAAATATTATCATCAATTACTGACCTTAAAGCACACGGCTAAACTATTATCAAGATAATGGTGAGTTGTCGATCTTTTGTGGTGATGTTTCTTGTAAGCACTGAGATGATAATGCTGTATATCTATTCTTAATCATTTAATTAAATTAATTAGTCGATTAGGTAGCAAAAGAATAAAGAAAATAAATTAAGCTGGGAAACACACACACACACATATACATATATAGATAATGCGTGAGATGATCATATCAATAGAGAGAGCTATCCTTCTAAAAAGTTGACAATGCTTTCATAGTCATTTTTTTATTATTAGGTTAGCTCATCCACCTAATCTTCTTCTTTGTTCATCACTTATAATTAACCATTATTCTAAATCTGAGTTGGTGAGGATTTATACGTTTGATGATGCACTTTTGCCTTGGACATATCTAGAGAGAGAGAAGAGAGAGATAGTAAGCAGTGACAATATGGTCGGCATATGGTTTCACTATCAATCACCAATCAGAAATATACTTTAAGCAACAAAAATTTAATTTTCTTTTATCAAGTGGTGGTGAAATGTACGTTGCATCCCCACAAAAAAATATATATATATATATATATGTAAAAATCAAAAAAAAATTAACTTTTAACTTTTGGTGGTTGATTATCTCTTGACACCCACTTGTACTTTTAATAATAAAATAGATATAGGTAAAATAGATAAGGCTTTTTCCATGCTCGGTACATAGAAACCAAATTAGAGGCCTAGCCCCAACTTGGCTACTCATAAGTGAAGCAGATCAGGAACTAAATTAAAAGGTGATGAATATGTTACACCATTATTGTTTTCCAACATGGATTTCTGCAAAATAAAGTAAAATAATTGGTGGACACTCTTAAAGCTCATATTCAGAGAATTAATGCCAATATGATGTGTAATTATTACCAAAATAGAAAATGTGTACACTTGTGTCAATACAAACATCTCATATAGATCCATAATTATGTCAGGCTACCAAACCCTTTTGTTTTTTTTAAGAATATGATTCATTATAGGCAACAAATATAATAATATGATTTTCTTTTTCTTTTAAGACTACGATTATGGAGTACTTGATTGTTGACCATGTTCCAGTGCCCATTACACTCTCCATCTCACTTGGCATCACTAATGGGCAGTGCTGTGAGAGAAACTTGGAAACATACATAACATTTTACACTATTTTCGAATTGTATCCTCAAATTTGTTGGTCACACTTTTACCAAATTATTGTTTTATATATATATAAACAAATTTGAGGATACAATTCGAATCTAATAACAATCACTTTGGGCAAATAGTGTAAAATGTTATGTATGTTTCCAAGTTTCTCTCACAGCACTGCCCATTAGTGATGCCAAGTGAGATGGATATATATATATATATATATATATATATATATATATATATATATCATATTATTATTTTTGACATATTCATACCACATTCGTGTTCTAATTTTTTTTTTTCTCTTTTTTTGCCGTATTGCCGTGTTCATACTTCCAAGCTTCTGCATAAAGAACTTAGCTGGAGTGGACCTGAATCATCTCAGTGGAACAACATGTCCTGTTCCATCCAGTGCGAGATGCACCGTGCATCACGCACTGGACGGAACAACACGTCTTGTTCCATTTAGTGTGGGATGCACCGTGCATCTCGCACTGGACGGAACCGGATTTTCTTCAGGTTGTAGCTGCAAGGGAGTCAAATGCCGTAAGCCACACAACCTCAAGTTGAAGCCCCCAATTATATATGTGAATGTACCTTAATTGATAGCAGACTAGAGAAGTTGCCCCAGTAGAATGGCATATGGACAGAAAGAGAGGAAGATTACTATATTGGTAAAATGGGATGCTCATAATTGATGAATTCAGTACAGGCGTAGTCCATAAGTAATTTTGGGCTTTGTTTCAAGCCCATACATTTCAGTAGTTCTTCCATTGGCTCTACTGGGTCAACTCAATCATCTCAACCAGGAACTCTCTCTCTTCTTTCATCACATACGGGCAATTCTTGTGACCCAGGAGGCGCATGGTCAGAACATGTGAAGCACTGAAAATCCATTAACTGAAACACTGATCTCGTGCAAATTCTAAATGTGTCACACACACAAACACACACACACACACAGGATTCAGTCACTGGTTGTTGCATAGAAAGAAGATAAGGAAGCGTGGTGGGAGGGCATTATTTTAATATTAGATGGGGGAGAGGAAGGGAGGAGGATGCATTGATTTCAGCTTTAGCACGCGCTTTGCTCCTTTTGCAATTATGTCTACGGCAAGTCGAGTGATGAATACTAGGCTTACTAGCCATTATAATTACACACATCATATGTATATGTATATGTATATGTATATGTATATGTAATACATAAATGCTTATGCCCTTTGCTGGCCCATTAAGCTAAGCAACCCCATGCTTCCATCTAATTCTCGCCCTTTTGAAGACGGAAGGAACAAAAGTTAGTTAATCAACATACCCTTAACAACGTAGATAAAGAGTAGATATGGAATGCCTCAGGCATACAACCGTCATTTGTCACTCAATTAAAACGCCTCATTCTCAATTATTTTACAAATAGACAAGACAAATTTCATATATTAACAAGGACTAACTTCCACAATAAGCAAAAGATACCCAGGTCCATAGTAAAGATAGCTTTACAGTAACTACATTAACTTTAACTACGTTAATTAATTTGGCTGGTGCACAAGCATATATACATATAAATTTTTGTATCTGTATATGCATTTTTGGATCAATTAAATGAACATGTGAATTTATTTTCCGGTCCCAACACATTTCTTCTACTTGAGGAGACACTCACTCAAGTAGAGAAAACATAATTTTGAGAGCCACACCATGTGACACCAGTTGATAATGGCTTCCAATGAACTTTTACTGCAGTTGGATTCAGTTGGATGTGAAAAGGCAATGACCAGGTGAAAGTAAAAATGACCCAAAAACTAACATGATCAGAGTCCTAACTATAAGGGCACCCAATGACCTATTGATCAAATGACAGCTTAGAAACCATTGCTGCAGGTTTGAATCCAAACCATCCTTGAAGTATGTGTTGAATACATACCTATATATACATATACAAGGACAGTAAAGGAGTCAAAAACCATTGCTGCAGTAAAGAAAAGTGTATCAAATGCACAACTAGGTGGACCTTGAAAGGGCAATTTAGTCACAGCAGCATTTTAAACAAGGGGTGGCATGGAAATCATTTTGCTCCCTCCATTCAAACAGCCTTGGCCATCACTAGATTAAAGCATAAGCAACAGCCACTTCCCAAGACACTATAAAAACCAGTCCAAAGCATGCAAACATTCCACAATCAAAACCAAACTTCTCTTTTGAGTCACCACTAAAGTACAGAACATAACACCCATGGCTTCCATCTTGGTCTTCACTTTCCTTACTTTCCTGTCAATCACTAGAGCTCAAGAGAGAGCTCCTCACGGGCTCTCTTATGAGAACCCCATGGCTTTCTCTCCATCAGCATTCGACTTTTTCCACCCGAATACTCAGCAGCCAGGTACTAAAACCCCGTGTGCTGCTTCAAATTGCTCGCCATTGACTCTAGCAGCTACAGTGAAATCGAGTTCAGCACATGAAAGCAGGTCAACACCAGAGTCGAGTGGGAACAGAATGGGTGCCGGTGGCATTGCTGGAATTGTTTTCAGTTTTGTATTTGCAGTACTTTTGGCGATGGGTGTTTACTATGTGACGATCACACGTCGAGCCAATTTGAGTCGACGAACTAATTCTGTCCAGCCTGATGTTTGATATGCTCACTCTGACTGGCTTAGTGATACCTAGAGTGAGCTTTCCTCACCCAACCCCAACCTTTCTTCTTCTTCTTCTTCCGTTATTATTTTTATTTTTTTTATTTTTATTTTTGATTTGGGATGTGAGATGTACCTATAATTCTTATTAGTTATTAATTTTATGAAATTCTGCACTCATAACACTAGTCAATGTCATTCATTACCACATCCTATTTTGAGTCGAAAAAGAAAATTGCTAGACAACTATCATTGGCATAGAAGGGAATGGGGGACAGAGGCAAGGGTTAAGCAACAATGGAATTTTGAGGGTAATATCAAACAATCATCATAGCCAGTCAAACAAATAAAGGATGGGTTGGAACTATAGATACTAAAAGCTTAAAATACTAATAGTTTACTTCTAATCAAATATAAAGAAGCCTTAATTGAGTTTCTTCACCTGTAAACTGCCTCGCACTTTTTATCAAGACAAGCCATGCATCCATATGCAACTCAAACATATGAATCTCCAATCAGCTTCTCTGATCAACAAGTTACAAGGTCAATGGAACCCCAAGGGTTTGGCCTAGTGGAAAAGGCTTGGGCCCTGGAGCCTCATTAAGCTTTAGGTCTCAAGTTCGATTCCCCTTGGGTGCGAGCAATTCCTTGCACGGACATAGTCCGAGTTTTACCCGATCCATGTGGGGGGGGGGGGGGGGGGGGGGGTTGCCTTGCATGGGTCCCATGGAATAGTCGGGGCAAAGCCCCGGACACCCCGGTTATCAAAAAAAAAAGTTACAAGGTCAATGGATATTAGCTCATTGTTAAAAACTTTACACTCTGTTGGGGATTTCTTATTTGTGGAGAAAATGATATCTTCAAAGAATATTAATGTTTAAAAATTCTACACGTTCTGAGATAAGTGAAGAAACCAAATCATCAAAGAGACACGATAGAGGAGGGAATGGCAGTTTGGAATACTTCTAATTTGTAAGAACCAAACCTAGTTCTTCCAAAGTCTGTTTACAAGTTGCTAGGCATCTTTTATTTGTGAGTCGAATTTCCATAGAAGTGGAAATGAAATACTTCTAAAAAGAGATTAATTTATGGATTCAGGACAAGCTTTTACCACTGGAACAACCCTCGCTATTCTGTATAAATGGCCGGGTTATGAATGAAGCAATATTCGAACATTGGACCATAATCTTTTGATCTGAGCTGACTTCACTCACAATCACCATGAACTGAATTTAAGCTGAGCACCAGCCTTCTGTAAGCTTCATTTTTTTTTTCCCTGGTAGGCATGCTAACCTAAGTCATGTAAAGCACGGGAGTAAGTGCGAGAGTGGGAGTGCAAAAGCGGCAAAATCTAAATCACGCAAAGTGGGAATGGGAGCGTGAGCGCACGAGGAGCGTGAGAACGGGAGCGGCGCGAAGCGTGAGAGTGGCACCGGTTTAGAAGAATTGTGTGGCTTAGATTCTAACTAGCGTTACAATGTACATCAGAAAAATCATACACGTAAATACATCCTATAAACATAAAAATTGGCGTTATACTTCCATAAAGAGGAACAATGTGCGGCTTCATGCCAATGAAATGACGGATAAATTAAATGTTATCAAGTAGACAAATACCATGTCATAGAATTCACACCTTGATCATGTAATCCATGTCTACAGGGTTGGCAACACACACAAGTCTTGAGGGTTTCACAATGTAGTGGAAAGACAGCAATAGTATCAAAAATCTTCACCGAAGTGATTTTAATTAAGCATCAACAACAGCAGCAGAATGAACAATGATAGGTATCTATAATAAAGCTCCTGTTACAGGCTGTGTCCCTCCTACACATCAGAAGTAAAAAGAATGGGGGGAAAGCCGTCACACATATAAATGTCACATAATGGAAGGAATATAATCCATATATCAGTATTGGAATTACCGGAACATTTCTACCACCCACGCGAGCTAAGAAACTCAATTGCACGTCCTAGTGTCTGATCCACGGCTTTGTTCCAAAGGTTTGCAAACTCAAAATGAGATTTCTTTCCAAGAGAAGGCTCTCTCATCTGAAAGGTGCAAAGCATAAATTTTTAAGTTCTAATGATACAATCAATAGAAGCATGGAATGTTCCTTTCAACAAAAATGGAACATGATTACTTACTCAAATATACATATATATACATAAATATATTTGTACAAAAATATAAATAAATATATACGTGGAACATGATTCTTCAAAAAATGTAATCATGCATCCGACATTTGTAACGACATTATAACTAGAGATTTCTCATTGTGCTGATAAGACTGATCGAGGAAAACTGAGACACAGACTAGAACACGCCATTCACAATAATCTAAAGCATATATCAGAGTCTTTGGTAAAAATTCCAACACAGAACTCTAATAAAATTAAACGTCTAAAGATCTTGAGGCATGATTAAAGGTCTGGCATTTTCATAGATTTATCAACTGTTTTGACATGGTTAACTTTCCACAGACATGAGAAGGTGGATACACCCTGGACCTCTCATGAAGCATGCATATTGTGTGAGAGTTGCCTGCAATAGTCAAAGTGAGAAGACGCTGGCAATAATGCTAGCAAAATATGGTATGCATTTTTTTATTATTTTTGTACTTTTATTTTTATTTTGTTGAATGTCAAAGAATTGATAGAGTCAATGCCTGATCTAATTTTACATTGATTGGGTGCAGGATCCTAAGAAAAAAAACTGAATTTTTAAGAGTTCGTAGATTCAAAGCTCAGCTAATCTTATATTTGAAAAAGAGACTGCACAGTATTGTCTTTATACAAACACAAATAAAAAAGGACAAACTCAGTGCACGAGGCTCTCGCCATTGCGGGGTCTGGGGAGGGTTAGATGTACTCAACCTTACCTTGCGAAGAGGTTATTTCCTTGTTTTGAACCCATGACCTCCAGGTCACAATGGAGCAACCTTACCGTTGCGCCAAGGCTCGCCCTCTTCAATATAAATGTCATAGTTAATTTAGCTGACAATGTTTAAGCACCATTCAATATCTTCAATGGTACTGTTGGAAAAACAAGCTAAACCATTTCTTTCGTATTTTCTGCTTTTGGCACATAGCAATTAAGAAAGGCGAATACAAAAAGACATTATGAAGAGAAGGAAATGGATATAGGTTGGTCAGATGGTGATACTAAAGGTGGGGTGGTGATGGTGGTGAGGGAATAACAGTAGCATATTAGTGGTAGTGGTGGGGTTGATGGAGAAGGCAATCATGATGGTAACAACAGTGACATATCATGGTAATAGTAGACATTACAATGGATAGGATTTTGATCCGAATCTGATCCGATAAATTCGGATACGGATTAGAACATTCAATCCGATAACCAGTTGACGATCCGAATCCAATAATCTGTTAGCTAAACTATCCAGATATGAATTAAGGTCAATCCAGTCCTGTAATAATCCAATCTGATAATATAATATAAAATATACTATAAATATATTATATAATGCTATAATATATAATATCTACATATTATTAAAATATTTTTTTACCATTATGTTTTTCTTCTTCTTCCCTCTCTAGTTTCTCTCTCTCTCTCTCTCTAAGAAAAAGTCAAATACCAATTTTTCTACTTTTTTTTTTTTTTTTTTTTCTATTTTATATTTCTTCTCTGGATTCTCTCTTTTTTCCTAATCATTGTTTTAATCTCTTTTCGACATTAAATTTTTTTTAACAAAAAACCAAAACCTTTTCAAATTGGGTTATCGGATCGGATATCCAATTATTATCAAAACAAATATGGATTCAATCTTAAAAATCCATCAGGTTATCGGATCGGATTAGATTGAATATAGCTCTTATCGGATTCAGATCAGATTAGGTATAATCCGGTCCGGATCCAATCCATTTAAAGGCCTAGGTAATAGTGGTAGCAACTAATCATATAAAGAGATATTATGAAGAGAAGGAAATGGATTTTACCTAAAAAAAAGAGAAGGAAATGGATATGGGATGATCATATCAAATGATGGTGATACTGAAGGTGGTGTGGCAATGGTGGTGAGGGCACTGAGGGAATAATAGTAGCAGGGCAGTGATGGTGCTGATGGAGAAGGCAGTCATGATGGTGACACCAGTAACATGTCATTGTATGGTGGCAGCCTAAGAAGCACGGACACTTCTACGAAGGTCATGTGTCCATGTCGGATATCGACACTTCATGGACACTTCTGGACATGTGTCCAACACTTCATGGACGTATCCATAATTTAAAAATAATTTTTATTATTTCGGACACTTAGCCAATAGGCCTGACTCATCTTGGACACTTGGCCGACACATCTTGGACACTCAACCAACAGATTTTACACTATTTGTCTTATATAATCAAACACATGATAGTCTCGAAAACAACATTAAGAACATACATTATGAACCTACATCAAAATGTCTAACCTACTTCTCTTTTAAAATTGGCATTAAACGTGTCACAAAATGTAATGAACAAAAACATAACTATAATAACATGATAGGAGAGTAATATCATACATAATAAAATATATTCGTTTTTATATTCAAATTGCTTCTTCTTCTAATTTATGTAACTTTAGTATAAAAATTATAAATTAACTAAAGTTCTATAATTGTCTTAATCAATATTCAATAGATCTATAAATGAAAGTTCATACTTATATTAGTTGTGTCCAAGCCGTGTTCCATGTCCTACAATTTTAGAATTTGGCATGTCGGCGTTTCGTGGCCTGTGTCCATGCTTCTTAGGTGGTAGCAAAATTGTTGTGGTTGAGGAGAGGTTGAAGTTCAATTGTTGTTGTTGTTGGGGAGAGGTGCAGGAGGCATCATCTAAGAGATTTACAACGCATCCATGGGAGTGTGCAGAACTTTAGATGCAATTCTTATTGCAAAGGAATGAATAGTTTTCAAGAACATGAGTCAAGAGTCGAGGATGGTGTGTAACGTGGACATTATGAAGTTGTATCACATCACATTATCATTGCTTTACATGTAATGATTCTTTCAAAACCACCACCCCTGATTTTCTGCCAGAACCTTTCCTTTTAACCATCCCCAGTCCCCAAATAGACAAATTCTTAAGAAATCTTTTAAACCATTTCCGATACCCTTCCAAGGACCTACCTAGATGTAATGCTCATCTCCAAGGTAGTTGAACCAACCCCGAGCCCTCAATATTTCTCTTAATCACATTTCATTGGATAAGCAAACCATCTAAGACAAACTTCAACATCCACTACCCTAGCAATGACAGGGTATTACCAATTATTTTCCACGTTAATCAAGGGTGTTAGGAGGGGCAAATTTGATACGAACCTAACCTTTGGAATTATTTGCATAGACTTCTATCACTTCCTCAACAATGCCTAATTAAATTCCTTCAGCCTCTAATTCCTCTATTGCGTGTCAAGTGTCTATGTCACATGTCAGTCCCCTTCATTCTCTCGACCTTCCCATCCCTTTGTCCCCCAACACCCTCTTCCTTGAAACTTGATCAAACCACATAAAAGATGCAATTTTCAATTAATAACCATTGATTCAATTTCTATGGGAAGGTCACGAAAATCTCAATAATGAAAAAGCTCCCCAAAATAATGAACAGATTTATACATCAAACAAAGCCCGAAAATGTCCCTCATAATTAAAATATACAAGTTATCAAGTGTAAAATTAAAGATTTGTTTGCACCACATATCCCCAGTCCCTCCAGATAACCTAAAAATAGGGGATTATTTGGTAAATGAGAAATTTTTACAATCAAACGCAATGTAAACCCTAAACAGATGAAAGGCTGATACACGAACAGTATGCATGAGTAAGTGGTTAACAATTCCAGATCCAAAACAATGTCATTTCCATACAAAAGACAACAAAATCGAAGTTTACCTGAGATTGGGTAGTAAATTGAGGTTGATTTTTTGAAATTGATTTGTAGATGCTCTTGCGTTGCTCGAAAACGATAACCCCCGTGATCATGCTTCCCATTGCAGCGCCAAGTACACGCTCCTGCGAATTTCGTAACATCAATTCGCACAACAATAAGCATGTATAAATATATATATATATATATATAAAAACACATATACGAGAGAATAACTAATTGAAATTGGTAATATCATAAAATTATCCTAATAAATAAGATGGAAATCTTGTGGCAGACCTGAGCAAGAACGCTGATCATGGCGTCTTCACCTACAGCCCCAATCTTTTTGCAACGAACAAGTACAGGCCTTTGCGTTGATACAGTGAAATACACCCAATTGTGTTTTTTGCCTGGCAAGTCGCAATGCCACGTGTGATTGCAATGGAGTAATTTATTTTTTTATTTTTTTAAAAAAAGGCAATTGTTACTCCTACAGCCATCTCATTTTTATTTTCAATCAGTACTGAAAATATTTTTAGAAAAATAAAATATAAAGTGAGAATTTATCAAAAATAAAAAAATAAATAATTTTCTTTAACAAAGTAGTAAAGTGAAATTTCTGGAGTTGCAAGTGACATATTGTAGAGTGGTTGTGTTGTTATTTGTGTCTAAGAGTCCGTATTCAAGTTTTGCACCATCACTCTCCCCTTTGACAAATAACAATTAATACCTAATAGTCTTGCCATGAAAAAAAAAAAAAAAAAGGCTTTCTTGAGTTCATTGTAGAAAATGGACTCTTTTTTTTTCTAGCAAATGGAAAACATTGACAGAAAACACTATGGCCTATTTAGTTTGCGTTTTGTTTTAATCCGAAACAAAACAAGTATTTTGTTGCAGAGTGTTTTGAATAATAACTAAAAGTATGTTTGGTAACGTTTATTTATTGCAAAATTTTTGGAAGCAAAAAAATGAAAACATGTTAGATAAAAAAGTGTTGCAAGTTTGAAAAACATAATGGTTAGTTTTAAAATGTCATTTAAGAATTTCTCAAAAAAAAATTAACCGTTCATTTCTACAGTATTGTTGTTACAATGCTGAAACATGTAAAAATACCCAAAAAAAATTCTTTTTAATTTTTATTCGGAAATTTCGTTTTTGATTGGATGGAGATATCATGTGTGTGATTTTGAACATGATTGGTTTTATTTATGTTGTGAAGGAAACATGTGTTATTTGGATATTTCTCTTTAGTTCCATTGTTACTATATATCATCTTGTTTTTATGTTTATTGTTATATTTTATGCATAGATGATAGTTTTGATCTCTCTTCTCATCAATTCTCCCACATTATTCTTTTCTTTCTTTGTTAAGCTTTATTTGTCAATTTGTAAAAAAAAGAGGGAAAAGTGTGCATATTTGAGGGGGAGAGTTTCTAGAATTGAAGGGGAGACATATACATATACATTGATATATTCATACTGATATATGTTGTTTATCTTTCTTGATTAAGTTTCACAGGTAATTTTGTTGAGCTGGTGTGCAGATTACAGGTTTGAAATACTACAAACGTTGAAGCTTCTTGTAGTTCAAGAAGAGTTCGTCTTTTATTGATTTTTTTGATAATCATTGTAATTTGTTTTTTCTACTTAGGTAGATTAGGAAGATTGTGAAAAATATATATTTTGTAGTTGGCTAATTTCGTTGTCAAAACAAGTCCGATCGAGTTGTAAAATTCCGGTTCAGAATTTCAAGATTGAAGATCGAATGCAAATTTGAAGAAATTCAAATGTTCATACTTTGATACACTTAAGATGATGAAAACAATGTTTTAGGAAGTTTTTGTGAGTGTGTAAGAATACTTAGGAAGTTTTGAAAGTTTTTAAGGGAGAAAATACATTCTGCCCAACTTGAACTGGTTCAAGAATTAAAGGAACATGTTCAAAGAATGCTGAATCGGTTCAAGACTCGAAAAGGTTTCTTCGAATTTTCTCTGGCCATCTTGAACCAGTTCAACAAATCCTGAACTGGTTCAAAGCCCCCTGATCAGTTTAGAAACTTCAGTTTCCTTATCCGTTTTGATTCCTTTTTGGACTAGACTGTGATGACCTTATGGGCGAGTGTGCCATGGGCGGGTGCGAGACACTGTCAGGCTACCACACTGGTGAGCTACGGATGCACAATCCCACATCGCCTGGGTAGAAGAAATGTGAAGTGCTTATATATAAGTGTGTCATCTCCAATTGGTATGAGGCCTTTTGGAATAAAGTCCAAGAGTAAAACTGTGTGGGCTCAGGGCCAAAGCGGACAATATCATACCATGTGGTGAAGTGAGTCGTTACAAATGGTATCAGAGTTAAACCTAGCCGGAAGTGTGCCGACGGGGACGTTGGGCCTCAAGGGGGATGGATTGTGATGACCTTGTGGGCGAGTATGCCGTGGGCGGGTGCGAGACACTGTCAGGCTACCACACTCGTGAGCTACGGGTGCACAGTCCCACATCGCCTAGGTAAAAGAAAGGTGAAGTGCTTATATATAAGTGTGTCATCTCTAATTGGTATGAGGCCTTTTGGGATAAAGCTCAATAGTAAAAACATGCGGGCTCAGACCCAAAGTGGACAATATCATACCATGTGGTGGAGTGGGTTGTTACAAATGGTATCAGAGCTTGACCCAGCCGGAAGTGTGCCGACGGGGATGTTGGGCCTCAAGGGGGATGGATAGTGATGACCTTGTGGGCGAGTGTGCCGTGGGCGGGTGCGAGACACTGTCAGGCTACCACACTGGTGAGCTACGGATGCACAGTCCCACATCGCCTGTGCAGAAGAAAGGTGAAGTGCTTATATATAAGTGTGTCATCTCCAATTGGTATAAGGCCTTTTGGGATAAAGCCCAAGAGTAAAACCGTGCGGGCTCAGCTCCAAAACGGACAATATCATACCATGTGGTGGAGTGGGTCGTTACACAGACCTTCTTCTAAAACCTATGCACAAATTGTACTTATTTTACAAGTATTCTTAAATCTTCCGAACCTCTATATAATGCCTCTTTTATTCAACATTGAGGTACAACTTTTTGCATACAAAATTCTGATTTAATTGAGAGCCATCTTTGAGAGAGATTTTTATTCAGAAAATCAAATCTGATTTTTCCGATTTTATTTTTGAGAGCACACACGTAAACACAAAAGTGATTTAGGAGTGTTGTTCTTTATCTCATCGAAATTGTAACATAATTAAAGGTTCAAAGATTCAGAAAAGCGGAATTCATTCATTGTTCATCAAATTCAGATCATAAAGAAAATGGGTGAAACGATCACACTTTGAAGGTGTCAAAGCATTTGTAGAGTGTTGTTTGATCTACCTATAACTCTTCTACAAAGATCAAGAGTAAGCCTGAGGTCGAGAGCTGTTGGACGAGAGAGTCGCAAAGTCAGGGATTGTCAGCGATTGATTTTTGGTAGAATGATAGGGTGTGAGCCTGAGTCAAAGTTGAGTATACTTTGTTTCAACCATAGTGGATCATTTTTGTCATATTCTGAAATTTTTAACCTTTATTTATTATCAAATTTTGCATATTTAATTGATTTAAAAAAATAAAAAATAAAAAATAAAAAAAGTAAAGAAAGAAAAGAAATGAAGAATCTTGGGACCCGCAGTCAATTGTAATGTAGTGTGTGTTGTGGATAGAAACTGATACTTTAAAATTTTAATATTGTTATAACAAGTGAATTAGAAAGTTTATCTGGAAGCTTGGTGAGCCACCAGCATAACACACCCTCATGCATATAGATAAGTATTATGTATATTGAAAATAATATTTGGTAAAGCTTTCAGAAGAAGCTTCGGAATTTCCACCGCTTTAGTACCCTTAGTATTATTAATACTGTGAGGGACTCAGAGAACGGAGTTATTGGAAACGATTAGAGGAATAGCAAGAAAAAAATAATAAGAAGAATAAGAGGAAGAAAAAAAAAAAAAAAAAAAAAAAAAAAAAAGGGGAGGGAAAAGGAGATGAGAATCATTACGATTCTTACAAGACTCAAGCACAGGTGAGGGGTTTATATTATAAATTCTATGTTGAAAGTTATTATATAACTTTTTAGTAACAATTAATTTAATTAACTTCCAATTTATATATCATCTACTTTATTATATTTTTCCGTACTTGATTAAAAGATTGTTTTGTATGAATTGATACCATGATTATTTTGTTGTAATTGTGAAATCGGTGATTAAAGATTTGTGGTTAGAAGTTTAGTTACAATTATATGTAAAGTGTGGGAGTTAATATAGGAAGGTGATTAATTATTATTTATTTCTCTTTAGAAATGAATTCAGGTAAAGAGATGGAAAGGACCGCATCGACAGTACCGAAGGAAAAATAAATAATTTGAAAAGTAGTCAAGGTGAGTGTACTCACTAGAAGTTTATACTTGAATGTGTATGTTGAAGTATCAAAGATATTTATTTGATGTGAAAATGTATATATATTATATAATGTCCATACTCTGGTCTGGAAGGAGAGTAATATATTATATAAGATCCATACTCTGGCCTAGAAGGAGAGTACTATATCATATAAGGTCCATACTCTGCCCTAGAAGGAAAGTACCGTAATTTAATGCATGTAAAGCTGGAAGTTATATTTTAATGTAGTTAAATTGAAGTTATCAGATAATATTTGTTTATATTACTCTGATATAATAGTGTTGCATTCACTGGGCTTGAAGCTCACTCATTCTATATATATATGTGTTTTTCAGGTACAAGATTGGGTCGCCACTGCCAGGTCTAGAGTCTTGAGTGTGAATGGGGAAAAGAATAATGGAACGTCTTTTATGTAAGATGTAAATATTATAATAGAATTTAATAATATAACTTGTAATTAACAATTTAGTGCTATCAAAACTTGCAAGATGGGTTTATAGTTGTTTTTAATTGTAAACTGTTATGCAAGCACTCTGATGTATGATGACGTCATGTATGTATAAGGCTAATACAGATGGTTAGATACATTTCAATTGTTCAATTTATTAAATAGTGTAAATTGGGTTGGGGTGTGTCAGCTTTTGGTATCAAAGCCTAGGTTTTCTAGGTTCTGGAGGTAGTAAGAGTCTAGACTGGCAGTGGCTGTAAGAAGTGTGTAGTAGAGTCATTTATTTAACTTGATTTTATACTAACAAATATATGTGGTGATCATGTATCATATATATATATTGTTATATTTGAGATTCATTGCAGATAAAAAGTAATGGAAGGAGGAAGTAGTTATCATAGAACCGATGAAGAAGCCTTTTATGTTCTTATTGAGGCTAAAGTAGAACAACCTATTCAAGATGGTATGGGAAGAAAACAGGAGCAGTAAACTACTATGTACAAAATGGGGAAGGCTATAACAAACTTGGTAGAACAAAATAAAAAATTTATTGCAAGTCAAATCATAATACAAGAA